AATCGATACAAAATACCCTACGATTCTACGATAGTTCTTTCACCTCGTCTAGAGCCGCTTCTGTCGCTGCCTTAACGCTGCCTCAACGCTGCCTTCGACGCTTGTCTTAACGTATTAGTCTTTGGCAATGATTCCTGGTCTAAGTCCGCTAATTCCTTTGTCTTACGTAACAAAGGCTTTCCCCGCGGAGATCGTCGAATAAATAAAATCGCATTCCTAAGAAAGGTCCCGCACCCTAAACATTTTCAACGCTTCAAAGCAACGCCCAGGTATCGTCGAAACGAAAACCAGGAAGCGATTTGTCATGTTTTCCACCGGCAGAACTATTTCCCGGCTCTGCGCGGCAGCCGTCCATTCGATCATCCGGCCGATAACGATCTCGGCTCGATTTCCTCGGGCAACGCGAGATCGGTGAGTGGTTCGATAAAAGTTCGACAACGATTCCGCCATTAAGAACGGCTTCCGTCGGTGGCCTGTGCTCGACGAATCGCGAGGAGAACGCGAGGAGGACGCGAGGAGGACGCGAGGAGGACGCGAGGAAACGTCGCGTCGCCAGCCTCGGCGAGCGTCCCGGTAAAAAATCGTTATCTGACCGTGGCGCAGCGTCATTTGCATTTTCATAGGGCCGCGAGGTGTAGTTCACGGCTCGTTAGATCGGCACCGGGCTACGGGAGCTATCTGCACGCGCTTCGACACATTTCACGCATCTTATTCGACTCGTTAAAGTCTCCGGGGCATCGCGCGGCGCGGGATCGCGAGCGGGAGCGGGCGCGGGAGAGGGTGCGGGAGCGGGAGGAATCGCGTTCCCGGGTTGTTTCGCTCGCGCAAATTCGACCGCGCCGCATACCGGAAGAGCGAAATCGTCTCGGGCTCGAAATATTGTAGCGCGAGTCTCATTAACGAGAACTTCTCGGCTGATTGGAGCGTGCGGATGATTTTTAATTGCGGGGCTTGTTAGGGGGAGAGTCGGAAACGACAGGATAACATGTGGACTCCGCGCTCGCGGTGCCTCTTCTCGCGGCGATATTCGCTCCGGAATGCGGTTAGAAGCCTCTTGGGATTGCGCGCTCTTTTTGCTGAACCGGCAGACCTTTCCTGGGCCCGGCATCGCCCGATTCCTGCCTCGCGATCAATTAATCGTTGCCCGTACGCTCCGCGATCTTTGCGCCAATTCTTGTTTTGGTAGCGTTCGGCGCCGTTCGTAATTTCGACGATCCTAAGACAGGAAATTGGAAACCGGTATTCGACCGGTGACGGCAGGATACGTTCGGCGTTAACTCGGCACAATCGAATCTGCTTAGACGGCTCTGTTCTCGAACAGAGAGTCGTACCCCTGGCAGAAGCGCTCGCCAGCTGTCGTCCGATTCCGCAAGCCGGACAATCCGCGCGTCTCGGCTCTATCAATCGTCTTCCCGTTCCGATATCTCGTTATCGACGGTTTCTCGTGGCCGCCGGTCGGCCGGATAATGCCGTCGCGGTTCCTTTTCACGCCGGGCGCCGCTTCCAGCCGAAAGATAAACGCGTGCCGCGCACGGAAGACATCCGACAATTCGCCGGGGCAATTAAGTGACGTGACTCGGCCGATTCGTGTGCTATGGAAACGTCATGGCGCGATTAAAGGAGCATTCCCCATCCCCCCCCCCTGGCACAGCCTTCCGCCTTACCTGGGACACCTGTAGGAACGAGACCGGGCGCCGGGAAACGGAGAGCGCGCGCCGTTCCGTCGGAACGAACACCCGGCTCGCTGTCATTCATCGGCCCGACCGGCAATCCTTTCAACCCGCGCTCGTTTGGGGGACAATGAATCAATTTGAGTGAATGGAGTGTCGTAAAGTGTCCACGAGGTGTAACCCGAGGTGCGACGACGGTTGAGTTGGGTACAGAGGCGCGTCAATTTGCTTCGGATTCCTTCTCGTATCCGACCGGCTCTGCCAATGGAATCGTCCGATTCGCTGAAAAATTACTTCCTCGCTTTATTTTTCCCCGTTCGACTCCGCCGAGGGACCTCGCGACTCGCGATTCGCCTGCCGGAAGATCGCTAATGGACTTTCCAGTGACGCTGCTCGATCGCGATGCCTGTTACACGATTTTCTGCTACACCGTGGCTCCATTTTGAAAGCGCGCGCCTACTTCGTACGAGGATTTCGTCGATCATTCTCCGCATGCATAGTCTTTTTCAAGAGAATTCGTTTATTTCATCTTCGTCTCGGATCACTGGGTCCGGCTTTTTATGGAAAATGATCATTGTTCTAGAGGAGATTTTTTTTTACATTGTGCTGTAACTTGTTCCACAGACAAAATAATTTTATCGTAGAAATCGTCCATCGTCGATTAACCAACTGTTTAAATTCTTTCTTGCAATATAAAGAGCCTGCAGCGTAGTATACAAATTCTGCGAATAAACCGAGCAGTTCCAACGTCAAAAAATGAAATGAAAACAAGGAACCACCGACATTGCTAAAGAAGGGAACGTTGATTCGAGTTGCGATCGCCGCGGACAATTCTTCTTTTCTATTCGAAAAGAATGAAGCTCGCGCGAATCCACCGGAACAAGCCGGTCCAAAGAATCTGAAAGACGAGGAGACGCCGATTGATTCCAGCGCGATCCTCGGCCGACCGCACGAAAGCTAATCAACACCGGGAGCAGCTGTTTCGCGGAACCTGCAAATAGGAAACGGTCGATCTCCGTGGGAGCAAGGCGAAGGAAGCCCGAAGATCGAGCAGCAGGAGCCGACGACAAAACGCCGGCTAATTTCGTGAAATCCGTCTCCGGCTGGCCGAGAAACTAATAGGCGAGCGATTACGAGCTCTGGCTGAGAAATTGCACCGCGGAGATTCCTAATCACGTTTCCCCGAGACAAAAGCCCGCGCGCGGCAGGAAAGACGAAAACGAGCAGCAGGAAAATGACTGAGGGCTACGCGGAGCGACGAGGAAGACGGAAGATACGAAGGAAGAGGCGAAACGAGAAAAAGTGGCAGACCACGCCGGGCTCGCTCGAGGTGGGAACAAAAGCCACCTTTCTTCAGTTTCCCCCCTCTCTCTCTCCCCCGCGCTCGCCTCCGCGACTCGCCTCTCCTCTCTTCGCCGCTTCTACGTCTATGGAGAGGCTTTTGGCTCGCCACGTACAAGGATCGCTCTCCCCGTTCACCATTGTGACTTCTTGCACGTATGAAAAACCACAAACCACCGACGTTATTTCGCGGCTGCGAACACGAAGGGTCTCCCTTTCCACGAAGCCCAAACCACGTAATACCCCTGTGGCCCCCCCTTTTCGTCGCGCCTCCCGCCTCCTCGCTGCTTTGTCCCTTCGTTTGATCCCGCTTCTTGACCATTACGCCACGGACCCGAATCAGCTCCTCGTTTGATCGACAGTTCGAGTCCCAGCCCGAGTTCGAGCGTCCCGCGATCATTACGGTGTCACTTATCGAGAGGGCTCGGTCGAAAGTGGACTCGAGGAGATTTTTAGGGGCTCGCGTGCCCTTTCCCCTCCCCATACTCGGGAGAAGTCGCCCAAGTTTTGTGCCGGATCGGCGCGCGTCGAGGATGCATTCACGATATCCGTGGATGATAAACGCATCCGATGAAACCAGCTACGCGTAAAGCCCGTTGCTCTGCAAGCTGTGTTGCACGAATATCGAAAAATCGATTGCGAAACCGTGTCTGCAGAAACGTTCGAGCATTCGATACCATGTTTAGCCGAGAATTACGTGGGCTTTAAATCGTACCGTGCGACTAAGATTATGAATGAATAACTCGTTTGACTTCTTACTAGCAATTACGATGTTTCCTTTCAGGCGGAATCGATCCGCGCGAATATCGCGGAACCCATTAACGAGCCGTTTAGAACTGCATCGAATTCGAGCACAGTCGATTTATCCGAACGGCCTCGTCGTATCTTATCGGATCGAGCTCGATCGAGCCTCTCTGATCGGCGATAAGAACGCTCGCTCCGATTCCGCGTGCAAACAGCAATATTTCCCGATAGCTGTACGAACTAGCTGCGAAATCCGTTAACGGAGGAACGAAGCGTGGCCGAGGAATCTTGACGCGGGGATGCGACGAGCCGGCGGCTGCACCGAACGAAACTTCGGCTATCGGCGCATCTATCCTGAAACGCGGTCCGCGGCGAGACCCGGCCGTTGCGCGAGTCATAGCCCGGATCTCTCGATCGCAGAAAATCGCGACGGACGTTGACGTTTATCGTGGCCGACGATCGCGTGCCCCGAGACAAACTATCGAATCGCGCGTCCGCCGGTTGTCGAGCCGCGGACAAATTAAACATGACAAGGTGGCCGCGATACGTGGGCGAGAGACTGCTCGCAATCAGTCGCAGTTAGAAGCCGACTTTATGTACTGTCAGCTCACAATGGAGGCGAAACGATTCCGCGACCACACGCCGATCCATTCAGCGGGTTCCTCTCCCGGACGCGCGACGGCCGGGCCCGAGAAAACTTGTCTCGAAGCCGAGCCGAGCCGAGACTAGCCGCGCCGAGTTGCGAGCCCGGTCGCCGGATATCTGGTTTGGGAGCTAAACTTTCCTACAACCGCGGTGCCGAACCAGTCCGCCGGACTTTTCTACGCCTGTGGAACCGCGTGGTCCGCTCCCGACATGCTGCCACGATTTTCCTCCTCGTTGTGCAAGCGTGCCGAGCATCGTGATCGCCGACGGAACCGTTCGAAACGAAAGGGAGCAAAACCCCGTAACGATTGAACGGAACCATCGGCGGTGTAAAGCCGATTTTCGAAAATGTTGACTCGCGTCTCGAAACGCGATCCATGCGCACCGAAATGTGTGAAAGGACGAGCGATATAAATTACAAGGCAACAATAAATTCATTTGACTCGACGTTATCTTAACCAGATAACACGCACACAAATAAGCACGGATCCGAGATCCGTGCGATGAACATCCGCGTTGCAAACAAGGAGCAATATTTGCATAACGTGCAACGAACAATGCATGCCTAAAAACAACACGCGCTACGATCAAGTAACCGTAAAATATAAGTGTCCGAATGCTTCACGATTTAGCGTGTCGATCTGGCGCAGCAGCCGTGCTAATCTTCGCTGTATCGTTGAAATTTCAGAGGAGTCGAGCCTCAATTAGCTGGGCTAAGTAGAGTGACACGAACATTCGAGGCTACTTAGCTACGGTGTCGGATTTAATCTTCATTGATTTACGCAGTGCCCCGTTTCCCGAAGCTCCGCCGTGTACGCGTCGCTGAAGGAAGTAGCTATTTTTTGAATTGCAAAACGAAAACTATTTATTTCGACCCACGGTATTCCCATTTCGTACGACTCTCATTTGATGCATGTGAAATTGGCCTAACTAGTTCTTGTACATGGAAGCTTTCGAGGTTGTTGAAAAGATAATTGCGTTCTCTCGAGAAAAAGTAGTTGTTAAAGTTGTTAATATCTAGAGTAAATTTTTCCCTGTTTCGTTTTACAATCTTCTGCCATCTTTCTGGCTTCTTCGAAACCTCATTCTCGTACAGGTCCAGTTTTTCGTTTGCAAAACGATTTAATAAATTTTACACGAAGGACTGAAATTAGTTTCCGATCAACCAAATATTTTATAACGATACAAAGATCTCTCAAATCCCAGAAAGAAATTGAAACGATTGAATTTGGATGGGCGCTCGGTTAAAACGAATCAGGATGCGGAGCGTGGAGAACGTGTCAGTCTCTTGGAATGGAACGTCGGCGTCAAGAAAGAAGACACCGAAAATGGCCGCCGAATTGTGACCACCGGACTACCCTGACCCAGAGAGAGAAAGAGTGACAGAGAGTGAGAGAGAGAGAGAGAGAGAGAGAGAGAGACGTCGCGTTCGCAGCGATTCCGAACGCGTCCGAACAATAATACGAGTCGCGGTGTAACTCAATTCCGATGCTGTCAGAAACAATGAGAACGAACCGAGTCACCGGTGGAAACGATAAAGCCAGCTGCTTTGTGGTCCATAAATATGTCAATTGCCGATGGTAGCCGGTAAGGGCCGCGCGGCGACGAGAGGAGCCGCGTTTGTATTTTGAGCGACAGCCAATATTTAACTCCGGCAATGGCGATCCGTGCAACCGGGACAGCTACGACCCGAGGGGACTTGCCGAAGACAAGTCTCGTGTGTTCCCTGTTCCCTGTACCCTGCTCCGTGCACCCTGACGTAAGCCGAAGGTCGAGGATTGCCGTGCGCCGGCTCGCGAAGTCGGAGCCAGAAGGCCCTACATGGCGCTCGATCCCGCGGGCTGACTTCTACAGGGATACTTGGACGGGGAGCGTGCTTTCTGGGAAGCAAACCGGAAGCCTCGCGTCGTTGTAGACACTGTTCGACTTCCCATATGGGAGTTTTACCTATTGGCCACGGTGATGAATCGAGCTACCTGCGCGAAAATCTTGACGACCGGTGGCCTTCCTCGAGGACGATGCCATTCTTCGGGAAGAACGGCTGTACCATTGCTGGCTGCGCGAGCTTTCATTCTCGATTGTTTGAATGGACGAGTTCTGTGCCATCCGAACACGGTTTTCCAAGGCGCGATCCAAACGCGACGCGTTCGTCGGAGAAATTAGTGAACACGTGATCCAGGAACAAATTTACCGATCAGTTTGTACGACGCGTACGCACGCTGTGCAACAAGATTTTTCAGCCAGAAAATTACCACAAGTTGTACAAAATGTACGCTTTCGAACGTGCTACTCGCTTCGAAAGACCGTCCATTCGGTTCCTCGGAACAATTCATCGAATCGCCTTCGTTTCGAACTGTCGAACGCGAGAGATCGTTCGCAGAGTCGCTGGAAAACCTTCCAACGATCTATCAACGATTAAAGCGCGAATATAATAATATTCTGAAGTAGACCGCGGATTTTTTATGCGCTTTAGCGGAACAATTCGATTGTCCGAAGCGAATAGCTCCTCGAATTTCCCTGGAAATCCGGAAGCCCGACAGGGATTCGAAGCGACAGCATCCCCCCCGCGGTAAAAGGGAGCAGCCGTTGCGGAAACAATGGTGCGACACGGAGAGCCGGTCCCTGTCCAAGGTTGATTCAGTCATCGGGTCGATTAATCATCGGGAATCGAGCGAAACGGTGTCCAGGTTTACATTGTGTCAGCCGAGAACGAACATTAATCCCATTAGCGGCCGCGACAAAGAGTGGCGTTTGTCCGGCGCGCACCGTTCGCCATTACCGCGGCATTATATCATGACGGATTCGTTCCGCGGGATCGCCGCTGTCACCGAATCGCAACACGGGGTACAAACGGTGTGCCGGGGGTACGGCAGTTAACGAACAGGCATCAACCAGCCGGAAGATAATGTATTCCCCGTGAAAAAGCCACTGATTGCCGACGCCATTGTGCGGCAAGCGATGCACTTTGCGGGGCCCCGTAGGCCGGCAACGAGCACGACACAACACAATGTCGGTTCATCATTTTCGATACGTCAGCAGTTGGATCGTACGGCAGTTTCCACGCTATTTTTTTACGCTCTTTGTTCCTTTTTCTTTCTCCGGTGGGTAGAAATGATGAGCACCGGCAGTCAAGTGCGCATGACTGATCGAAGGTCTGCTTCCTTGGCCAGTTGCTGGAATTTCCACTGTCTGCGCCGGATAAATATTGTGAAATCTCGTGTCAAACCTATGCGAGTCGTCGAGTGGATTGCCTGGCAGCCGGAGAGTTCGAAACGGTGGTTAAATTAAACCGGTGCTCTATGATTAGGCGAATCTTCCACTGCTGCGCCGTGCAGGGAAACCTTTTTGTCTATTGTTTTTAGAGTTGTTTTAGCGTGCCGAAGCGCCATTGATATTGTAACGCGACTAAAAGACGTTCAACCGTATTAATTTGTATTGAGAACAATCTTCTGAAAACCAGTCAATTATAATTCATTCCTATAATATCAAATATTAAGTGACCGTGAAATATCGTAAACGGATCGATAAAGAAAGCCTACGCAGGATAAAAAGTTACAATTTCGTTTTCTGCACAATCCACTAAAATCGACTAGAATAAATCGTATTCAACGATTACCATTTCGTTGACATTATTGAACGAGCAGCAACGACGAAAACGGATAGGAACGCTGCTGACATTCGTAACCGATTCGTACGATCGAATAAATTCGGAAGAGATCCGTAATCTGCCTAAAATATTTCAACGAAAGTTGCAGCGATTATATTTTAAATGGCAGATCGTCGAGCGAACACTTGGACGCGAACGTTAACGAATTCGGGTTTCATAAAATTTAAAGACTGGCTCGTTCGCTCGAATAATTATGGCATTCTCGAGAAAGCTACGATCGTAGAGGTTGCCAAAATAATTGAGCGACTGCGTGGCCGCAAGTATCGGAGTCGCGCAATAAATAAATATCGCCGGATTATACGAAGACGGTAGTCGACGAAGCAATTTCGCGGAGAGGAAGAAAAAATCGGCGGGGACCCTCTTAATTAGAAGCGGCCGACGAACAACCGAGCCCGATTCGCCGAGATAAGGCCCGCTGGAAATTTCGGCGTCTAAGTGGCCGCCTATTCGCTACCGACAGCTTCCGAGGGCCTCCTAATTGTCAAGATCGAGAGCCGTAATTACACGCTTCGACATTCGTTCCTCCGGCTCACTTAAGACACCCTAAACTCCCGGGAATTCGTTTTTATGGCGTTGCCAGCCGAAAGTACCTATCGTCCGACTCCTCCGGTTGTCGGCGACTCACGAAGCGACACTGATAACGACTGATAACGAAGGTGTTCTCGCGAGGCAACGCGTCATCCGGAAGAGCGTTCGAGCAACGACTTTTCTCGAGACACGAAACTGGGAATCGTTCTTCAACGATCGACCAACGACGAATCGTCCGACAGGCTGAACGCGCGTTATTTTTAAGCCAGTGATACGTTAATTATCTTTGCGTTCGGATGTCTGGTTCAATATTGTGTCCCGGTGCGTCACCGTTCATTTTCAAACGACTGTCGCGGAATTATGGTACTTGCTCGATGCAACATTGAAACTGCCGAGTTTATCGTAAGAAACATAGGCCAGATAAGAATGCCACTCCCCTTTTTATACCGTTGAAAATAACGCGACGGTATCCTCAAATTTTTCTGACATCTTCGCAGATTTTTATTCGATTCATTTTTGTTCTAAACGCGTTAAATCTGCAGTTTGCTAACGAGACTATCGTTTATCATTAAAATAATAAGTATGGAGCGCTATTTTTAGTAAAATATAAAGAGCATTTCAATGAAGTCCTCTCCAGTGAAACATATAACGAATGTGAATTGTTCTTCCAGCTATGAGTTTATTAATTTTTTAAACGAGCAACCAGAAAGCAGAAATGTCTACGATAAATTGAAAACCGCGTCAAAATGTCAATTCTACTTTTATTCCCTCGTACTTTATTAAAAATAAAGCATTACGAATCGCCTTGCCACTGAAACATGGGCGCATAGAAAAAAGAACTGAACAGTGTTACGAACTCATTGCTAAGAGAGAAAAGTTAACAGTTCAAAAGGCCAGCGCTTTGGAATCCACCGAGTGAAATTCTGCCGATCCGTTCGAACCTGTCACCGGCAGAACGCTTTACCGCGCGAGTGAAATCCCGACACTAAAACTTTATCAAACGGATGCGATTTCGCGACGACGATGATCGATGCGTGACAAGGAATTTCACGTCGCGGAACCAAATACACAACCGCAGAACATTTCGTTATTGAACGCGTGTTACACTCTCGCGTCGCCTCGAATCTTTCGGCCAATTAGGACCGATTGCACAACGGAAACTGATACATACTCGGTGGATCACGGATCGATCGAAAGGTGCCGCGTCGCGTTACATAACACGAGATAATCGCGAGACCGAATTTCGGATTTCTTATCGTAAAATAGTCTCACCTGCGAGCATTCGTAATCTCGCGGCGAACAATAATTCACGGAGGCACACACGTGTGTTTCATAATTTGTTCGCGTGTCGTCATCGCGAACGGTATCGCGCTGGATCAGGATCGATACGCGTACTTTTGTCCACTATCGAACGCGCGTACCGGAGGCGCTGCCAGCCAGCAGCGATCGACGGTGTTTGTGAAACGTCAAACACGGATCCATATATCGATCGTATCGTTCGTTACACAA